TGTCTCTGAAATTGAGATGCGAGCGAATGATTTTATGGAAAAAGAAGAAATATCATTTTTCTCCTCAAAAATTTGTTAAATACAAATGAAATTGATTAATTCCTGAACGGAATCGATTTATGAGTTCAATTTTCTCAAAAAACTTTTTAATTTTTCAACAAAATCTATCGATAATTCATAATGTATCGTTTTGAACAAATTTTTCCATATTTTATGAGTCGATGTAAATTTTCGATACTGTGGTATTGAGTAATATATGTATTTTTTATATAGGGTGTCTCTGAAATTGAGATGCGAGCGAATGATTTTATGGAAAAAGAAGAAATATCATTTTTCTCGTTTGTCCTCAAAAATTTGTTAAATACAAGTGAAATTGATTAATTCCTGAACTGAATCAATTTTCTCAAAAAACTTTTTAATTTTTCAACAAAATCTTTTATCGATAATTCATAATGTATCGTTTCGAACAAATTTTTGAGTCGATATAAATTTTCGATACTGTGGTATTGAATAATATATGTATTTTTCATATAGGGTGTCTCTGAAATTGAGATGCGAGTGAATGATTTTACATGGAAAAAGAAGAAATATTTTTCTCGTTTGGACTTTGTCCTCAAAAATTTGTTAAGTACAAGTGAAATTGATTAATTCCTGAACTGAATCAATTTTCTCAAAAAAATTTTTTAATTTTTCAACAAAATCTTCTATCGATAATTCATAAGTAATTTCGGGAATTAACCTTTGTTCTTAAAAATTTAAACGGGATAAAAGAGAATGTAACGTAGAACGATTCTTAAACGATCAAAATTAATCGAGTTACTTTTCTCGTTATTAATTTTGAAGCTCACCCGTTATACATATTAATTAGTCACTCTTAAATATATATGAAAACAATTAATAAATAATAATCGTATCACATGATCGAAAAGATTCGAACGCCAAATATTTTCTTGAACAAAATCAAAACGAAGAAAAAAAGTTACTCGAGACGAGTAATCCTTAAACCACACACCTATTTCAATCACATCTCACCAATAGGCAATTAATCAATCAGTCTCGTAATTTTTCCTTATTTATTATCGCAAAGAAAAAAAGAAAAAAAAGAAGAAAATAATAAGCGACGTTTCTTTTTGCAAAGAAAAAAGAGAAAGAGGGAATGAAGGAGGAAGAAAAAGAAGCGAATAGGAACTATATAATCGGCCAATAACCTTCCATGTCCGTCTCGTCGTGCATGTGCGGCGTGTTTCTATTCTCGTCCTCTTTCTCGCCGGTCAGGTCGCTCAGGCTGTAGCTCTTCTTCAAATGCTGAACCAAGCCTCCACCGCCCTGAAAAAACCAATCCTACGTTTCTTTAACCCGCCTTGCCATTCCTTTCGAGTAAAGCCTTCTTAAAAGTTCCAAAGTTCGAAGGATCGTATTGGCTTCTTGAGATCGATATCGGTATCGATATCGAAGAAAGGGCCAATATCTCTTCGATAAATTCGGGGGAAAAAAGAAAGAAAGACATAGAGAGAAAGAGAGAGAGAGGAAAAAAAAAAATTAAATTCTTACCAAAACAGAAAAAGGTGTTAAATGTGTTATCCGTCGACACTGGAGCATGTGTTCGATCTGTTGCGCGATCTGTCTAAGAGATCGATCTAGGCCGGGTTCGCAACAATGGGAGAACGCGTTGCGGTTTCTCGCCTATCCGGCTCCTCTTTCTTTTCCGACTTTCATCCTTGCACCGAGTTAACGGCCAGCGTGTCCGTCGATAGAACACTCTTGATTAACTGGACCAACTCGTTAGACGAG